TTAAATTAGCAAGAAAAAAGTTCTAGCAATACATTTGTGGCTGTCTTGTAAAAATGTACATTCATGTGCTTCCATTTTTATCCCTCTATTACTAGTGTGCACATCTGTGGAGGGAGCTGAAAGTTCAAGTCAGCCACCAAACCTTAATGATTTGGAGAGGATCTGCCAAGAGGATTGGGCGGAAATCCCTCCTGTGATGTGTGCCAACCTGGTGGCCAACTACAGGAAACGTCTGACCTCTGCAATTGCCAACAAGGGATTTGCCACCAAGTACTAAGTCATGTTTTGTGAAGGGGATCAAATACTTATTTCCCTCACGAACATGCAAATCAGTGCATAATTTGTTAGACATGCATTTCTTTTGAATTTTTTGTTGCTATTCTGTCTCTCAGTGTTACAATACACCTACCATTCAATTTTTAGACTGATCATTTCTTTGTGAGTGGGCAAACATTCACACATTTTTTTTTAGTCCATGGCTACATGGAAGATTTTTATTCACCTAGTAATATATGGTTAAAGCAGACTTTCATCTTACTGTAACTATCATATTGCCCCCCATCCCTCTCTTTAATTGGATATAGTTTTACATTTTGGAGAGTCCCAAGTGAGCCCTGTGGCACATCAGTGAATGCTTAGGTTTCCTGTGCATGTACAAAGACCGGGTATTGTGGAGGTCCCAAACCTTCACCGTCTTTGCGCATGCATGGAAAATCTCCTGCACATGTGTGAGATGAGAAACAGCTCTCATTGTTTGAACACTGTTTGTGTGGAAGTAAATTAATGTTTTGACTGACATTCTGTGGTTTATCCACAAGATGTCACTGTTCTAACACAGCCTCAGACTGCATAGATATTTGTATATTTATGAAGAGGTGTGGGGTTTTTTTGCACACAGAGTTGGAGAGAACAGGAAGGAGGGAGAGAAGCCATGTTTTGGAGCATGGTGAATAAGGGTCCCTATGAGCTGAGAATCTGATGTCATCCAGGTGTGAAAGCGTCCCTCCGTAACCAGAGCCGCAGCTAAGTGAAGCTGATGAGATTGCTGCCAGGGATGCTGATGAGATTGCTGCCAGGAAGGCTGATGAGAGGAACTAAGCAACATATACGACGAGACCACATGCTTGTTGGAGAGACATTTGTTCTGTTCAGAGTCACCAGCGGATGCAAAGCAGACCCGGGTCGGTAAGATCGTGCACTCAACCTCATTTCAGTGTTGGCGCCTTGAGTCCAGGCCTATAGTTAGTTAGGGTCTCTGTTTGTGTCAGGCCACAAGTGTTGTTACTGATCATTGGAAGGACTCCACAACTTAAAGTGACATTTCACATTGGAGAGCTGATAAAATCCTACAAACTCAAGCCAGACTGGCGTTTTGCTCAGAAGGAATACTCAGGCACGTGCTACAGGACCAGTTATGGGAGGGGGAATACTGTAGATTTGTGTAAGATTGTAAGCTGTTGTGCTGCACTGCAGGCTAGCCCATACCATACACCCATACACTGATTCCTGCTCTTTTAGGGTAATACCAGGTAAGGTGTGGCAGCTTAGTTGTGCCCGCTAGTAGGTAAATTACTTCACTTTCTACCTTCATCCATCAGAACGCGCCGTGCTGTGCAGCACAAGGGTCTCAGCCTTTGGGCTGGATTTATGTTAATTTATTGTATGTTTCCAGCATTTGTGGTTGTGTTTATTTGCCACATCGAAGTAAAATTCTGTTGTGGCAAAAAGCTGGTGTTGGGGTTGCTTTCCTCGTTTGTGACTTCACTGTATCCTGGGGAGCCCACCCCGGTACACGGCTTACAACTTGGCGTAGTCGTCAGGATACAGCGACCGTTATGGACATGAATGCGGCGGGAGATCTTCCCCCGGCGCCAATGGCACCGACGTCCAGGACCCAGCTCAGGGTGCACCGGTGCAAGACCAAGTTGCCCCAACACCGCTGATACAGCTTGCCCCCGCCCTGCCCGTACCAGTAGGGTGCATTCCCGTGGGGGCGCTGTTGAGTCACCTGCCAAAATTTGACAGTAAAAATATGACATTGCAGGACTGGACTGAAAGAGTGCGAAGTGCGGTTAGAATGTGTAACCTGACTTCCGAGCTGCAGGCAGGGGTTGCATTGGGGGCTCTAGAGGGTGACGTCAGGCGGACAGTGATGGTAGGGCCCAAATCTGAAAGAGACACCCTAGAGAAAATATTCTCCCTGCTGGAGAGAGCCCAAGGAGGGTGTGCTAAAGTAGTGCAGCTGCGGAGGCACTTCTTCAACCGACCACAGCAAGAGGGCGAGACCATGATGCAGTACTCCAATGCCCTACAGGAGGCGCTAAATGAAATGAGAACCAGAGGCCATGGGAGCTTTCCGGGAGGTGGACCGTCTACTACGAGACCAGTTCATAGTGGGGCTCTCCAACAAGTTCTTACAGGACAAATTGCAAGAGATGACCTGGACGACGCCCAATATGACATTCTACAGCATCTACTTAGCCGCTGTGGCGAGAGAGGAAGAGTGCATACCTGTGGTGGCGAGAATAGTGAGTGTAGTACCCATGCTACACATGCGCAGATGTGCCAAAACAACTGCTGGGACCCTGAGAGTAGATCCCTTTGGCACATCTGTGCATGTGCCGTAATGTTGGTATCTGCGGAAGAAGGCAAAGCCTCTACAGAAAGGCTGAAGTTCCTCTTTCACCTCTTCAGATTCAATGTGTCTGATTTATTAGTTCAAATAAACATTAGTAACTCCAACGACATGCTGGTAGGTTAATTGGATCCTGTCTAAATTGGCCCTAGTATATGTATGTATGTATGAATGTAAGTTAGGGGCCTTAGATTGTACACCCCTTGAGGGATAGGGACTGATGAGAATGTACAATATATATTGTAACGTACATGTGACATGATGTAAAGTACATGTGACGTAAATGTACAGATTTGAGTAGATAAGATGCGATCAGTAGCAATATGTAATCGTAACCTTAGTGGCATTCCATTGTCAGTAAAAAAATATTCAGTCCTTGTCATTGAGGAAATTAGGTACTCAGACAGTGCTCGTCAATTAGCATCTGAAAAGCCTGGCTTCCTCTGAAAAGCCTGACACCTTGGGGCTAATAAGGTTTTGTCACCTTCTGGGGAAACAGGTTTAGGAGGAAGTGGCTCCAGACATTTCGGCTTCATGACAGCAGGGAGCTAAAAGTTTATCCATCCATCAAAAGGGGTATGTTTCATCTCTCATAAAAGCTAAAATATTAGTTGCAGAGAAATGAGGATACTCCCTTCTATTTGGGCACTCTGTAGGCTACATCGGCATATAAAAACCATATTGGTGGAGTAGGTAGAAGGCCAGTAAAATGCAGGAAATGGTTAGGTGGTGCTGGATTGCAACAGTCGAACAGTGTTTGGTACTGTCACGATCAGGCCGATGCGCTGGTGTCGGAAATCCAATCCCCGACTTGGTGTTTCAAGCCGATCTTAGTCTGATTGAACTTGGGCAGGTCAGCACCCAGAACATCCTGTGGGCAGGTACAGGAGCAGCCCCCATGGTCAATTGGCCGAGGACTAATGTCCCGCGTACGTCCATATCCCCATAAATGGAGTACCTGGGCATTGGGGATTTGCGATTCGTATGGAGCTGGTTGATCGACCAACGATTGCTGAGTTTTCTGACTTGCTCCAGTCGCAGGATAAATCCTGGTAAAGTTTTATTCTGTCTTTTATTCCCTTTTTATTTTATAGCGAATAGTCATTTGTGTGTCTTCTTGTATTTTTTGTATTTCTGTAACTTTTTATATTTTGTACATACTTTATGCACTGCCCACTTTCGGGAAATTAAAGCTTAAAATTAATTAGTGACTTCTGTGTATTTAAGCACGTGCTCATACTTTCAGAGAGATTAGATTGGATAGATTAGATTAGATTGTATCGTATTTTAGTGCCTTTAAACGCTCGGTCAAGCTCATTGCCAATCTGTATGCAATTGCACTGTGTGTGGGCAGATTGCGTGCAGATTGTAAAAGGTAACAGATCGGCCAGACGGAGATCTGTGTGTGTGGGGTGTCCCAGCAGACCGTTCTGCGGATAAACTGCTGGGTGGTGGCAGGCTACCTTTTGTGGTGTGGGGGTGTGTGGACAGTGGAAGAGTGATTAACACCGGCGTTCAAACTGTACGATAGCTGGAGGGACTCTAGAAGGGTGTGTAATTACTAAGCTGGTCCTCAACTATAATCAGTGCACCAGATTGTATGTAAGATCTTATCTGCCAGTGTGTGGTCGACCAGCTGGATTGGAGTGGAGTCTCCCTCTGGTGGTGGCCAAATGGTAGTGCGGGCTGTGAAAGGATATCACGGCTGATCTTATATACAGTTTTATATATTCAAAGTTAAGTCCCCTTTATTCTCTTATACCCCCTGTCACGGTCGCACGTGCGCACCTCGGTTAGCTAGTCGCTGTGGGCATGGCGTGTTGGGGATCCGTGACATATATGTAAAGCGCTGCGTAAATTGGCGGAGTTATATAAGTACCTGAAAAAAATAAAATAAAAATTAGTAGGCAAACATTTTTATGGTATGCTTGCATTGTGGGCTTGCATGAGCAAATTACAGTAAACTATACACTAATATTTAATGCATACTGTGAGGACCTTACTTACATAGAGGAAGCTATAGAATGTAATCAACCAAACCAGCATGTCATAAAAAAAGAAAACACATATGTTGTGATGTTAGAGCAAATAAGGTGGTGTGTACAGATATGTAGCACTAGAAACATGTAACAGCCGGCATATCTTTCTATGTGAACTGTGAAACCACAGTAGCTCTTTAACCACTTCCCGTCTGCCCTATAGCAAAAATACTGCTACAGGGTGGCACGGGTGCGAAAAATCACACGGTGGCACGGGTGCGAAAAATGTGAAAAATCACATATAAATACGTCATTTTGCATTTCCAGGTAGGAGGCGCACCCTACCCGCGCCGCCGACCGGTAATTACTCGCAGGCGCCTGGTGATTTCCCTCCCTGTCAGCTCGGGCACACTGCTCTGGATGGCTGTGCACAGCACATCCATCCAGAGAAGTGTGATTACAGTGAACCACACAGACACCTCCCCCCAGTAAAACACTCCCAGCACACAGTTAACCCTTTGATCGCCCCTCATGTTAACTCTTTCCTGTCCAATGCTATTAGTACACTGTCAATGCTTTTTTTTTTTAGCACTGATCACTGTATTGGTGTAACTGGGGATGTCAGTGACACCAAGTCAGTTCCTCCCAGTGTCAGAATGTCCGCCGCAGTCCTGCTATAAGTCGCTGATCGCCGCCATTACTAGTAATAAAAAAAAAAAATTCCAGTATCTATACCACCATTTGTAAATGCTATAAACCAATTAATTTACACGTATTGAGTTTTTTTTTTAGCAAAGAAATGTAGCAGAATACATTTTGGCATAAATGTTTTGACAATATTTGATCTTTTACATTTTTTTACTGGACATGTTTAATAGCAAAAAGTCAAAAATATAGTTTTTTTCTCAAAACTGTTGGTCTTTTTTTTATAGTGCAACAAATAAAAAAAAACGCACAGGCGATCAAATACCACCGAAAGAAAGCTCAATTTGTGGGAAAAAAAGAACGTAAATTTCATTTGGGTGCAGCGCTGCATGACTACGCAATTGGGGATGATTTACTTAGGGATACCGGATATTTTTCCGGCAAACTCAAAGGCACATTACAGGTGACTAAAAATATGTTACGTAAAGGAAAAACGTTGCAAATAGAACAATTAAAAAATGTGTCCAAAGTGCAGAAAAACAAGTATTTTATGTTGAAGTCAGGCTCTCTTTAAGGTAAACTTTAGTGCCTGGAAAGTACTAGCTGCTGACTAACGGAGTTCACTTGTTGCCTGGAATTGTTCTTTAACACTTTAGTTTCCATGTAGCATTTTAGAAACCTTGTAGTCATCTACTGCAATTGGTTGGATTTTTCATTACTGCAAAAATGGAAACATCATGCAAACTGAGAGCGGGGATTTAAGGTAATGGAAACCCCTAGATATCAAGGAAATCAGTGAAAACCCTGTAGAACATGGAGGCATACCTGGGTGAACATTTCCTACAAGTACATTTGTGGTCATCTAGTAAAAATGTGATTGATGTGATTCAATTTTTAACCCTCTGTTACTATAGCAATATGGTAATTCCCTTTGCATTACACATTTGATTGAAATCCCCTGATTTACACTTGCTAATTACAACATTTATTGTATTCCATGGGTACATGTGAGATTTTTATTGACCTAGTAATGTGTACTATGACATACCCAAGACGGCTTGTACTTCAACTTTTTTACTTTTAGTAGTTGTACGATAGCCCTCAAAGAGACCCTGTTGCCAGACAATCTATTTCAACATACATTTGCCCATAAGATTTAGCCATGGTTCACACTTGTGCGGTGCGGTATATCGCATATGATTCGCACAGGAACCGCACAGCATTCCTGTGCAAATCACATGCAAATTCTGTGGAATTCCTGTTTGTCACATTTTGCATGGCTCAAATCACACAGCATCTACACCAAAAAGGTGCAGGACCCTTTTTTTGGTCCACACTACATAGTTACATAGTTAGTCTGGCTGAAAAAAGACAAAAGTCCATCCAGTTCAACCATAGTAAAGAAAAAAAAAAAAAGTTATAATCCTTTACCCACAGTTGATCCAGAGGAAGGCAAAAAAACCCAGCAAAGCATGATCCAATTTGCTCCTTCTGGGAAAAAAATCCTTCCTGATCCCCCGAGAGGAAATCAGATATTCCCCAACTTTACCTGTAAATGTTAGTATCCAGTTATATTCTGTGTATCCAAGAAAGAATCCAGGCCTCTTTTGAAGTCGGATTGCATGGGTGTTCACACCTACAAGATCCGATTCTGCGCATTGCAATGCGTTTTGCAGATCGATTTTGGGGGGTGTTGTTAACTTAACATACACACCCGCATCGGTTCGCATGAACAGGGTGCGATTGTGATGTGGTCCGAAATTTGCACAGAAACCGCTGCAAATCCGCACCGCATCAGCGTGAACCCAGGCTTTATGCACGTTTATGTGCAAGCCGGGGAGTAAGCTCTAATAGGGAATTTATTTTCCTGAAGTAGTCACATTTGCTATCAATCCAGAGGCACATTGCAAGTAGATACAAATTATTCATGGAAAGGAAAAAATGCAGCAAGTGCTTTTACCTGCAATTTTAGTCGTTGACAGGTTGTCTTTAATTATATCAGTATACTTCATGTTGTGTTGTTCCTACATGAGATAAGCATGAAAAAATACTAGCATTGGTCAGATAAATCCAAAGCATCCAAGAAAAATTACATTTTTATTAGCAGTATGCCGCAACGTAGTCGTTTTCCATTCATATGCACACGCTCTATAATAAACCTCACTTATTAGGAAATTCTCTCTACGTGCACTAGAGCCTGTGGACAACTATCTCAAGTGGGTAATTCCCCACACTTTGGGAAATTTCTATTAACTTCCTGTTGTGTCTCTGGGACAGGAAGTTATGAGAAACTTTCACATTGGTACACAGAAAGGAAAAAAAACAGCAAGACAAAATCGGCGCTAAGACGGCGCTATACAAGTACCTGAAATAAATAAATAAGACTTTTAACCCTTCCCTGCACACTTGCACAGTTTGAATGGCTGACAGCGCCCTCTAAGGGGGAATTACTGTGATGTTCAGCCTATCCTGCAAACTGCATGATGGAGGGGGATGAGGGGCCAGAGGTATTGGTAGAGAGGCCCCACAACGGCTGTATCTGTAATGGGAGGCCCTGCAATATTTACTCCAGGAGTGTGCTGTTATGTAATATGCAGAGAACATAGAAGTGCATAGGGGGATTTTTGGAAACCCGTCCCGTCCTAAAAAGGTGAACTAGCACTTATAGGGTACTTTTACACATGTGGTGCTCACTGAAAAGTGATCTGTGGTGAATCACTCTTCAGAAAGAATTTGGCAGGCAATGAGGAGGAATTATGATGCTTCCTCGCTACCTTTTTTAACCCTTATAGTAGAACTCAAAAGTTTTTTTTTTTTTCATTTTGGATAATCAGACTCTATGTAACCACATCTCTGTAAGCTACACCCAATATTCAGCACAATTAGAAACACACCCCATTTTTGACGCTGTGTGTGCCACATTTTACCATTCCTAGCCCAGGGAGTCCAACTTATAGTCTTGTACACAGGGCCACAACTCTGGAGGTGGTGTTACAACAGCAGCCAGGTGTTTGTGTGACTAACTCACCAAGAGAATGGGCTCCATTTACAAAGCGGTATCTACCACTTTAAGAAATGCACTAAAATACCGCTTAGCGTTTTTCGAAAACATTTTTGGCATTCACTAAAAACACTTCTAAAAATAACAAATGCGGTATTTTTCCAAAATATGCGTTTTTTCTCTCATAAGACCACACGGTATTTATCTCATGATATCCAGTGGGATGGATACAGTGGAGAAGAATTAGAACCCCTGTCAGTTTTTATTGCTAATAAAGAGGTAAAATGGTTTAAACCATAGAAATATGCCAACTCACTAAGTCAGTGCGGTCCCTGCAGCATATGTATTAATACAAAAGAAAAAAGGTGACTGGAATACCAGTCAAAGGGAAGCTGCTTTCACGGGACACACATGGTGTATCAAAAACAACTATGTTAACCACTTTCCCGCCGCCCTATAGCAGATATACTGCTACAGGGCGGCAGGGGTTCGCAAAATCACATATATTGACGTGATTTTGCAGTTCTTGGCTGGGGGCGCGCACTCGCCCTACCCGCACCGCCATTCGCGGCTGTCAATCACTGGGTCCTGGCCGGTGATTACTTGCCGTCGCACGGTGATTACCGAGCATCTCTGACGGAGAGGAGGACTGTTTTATTTACTAACAGTCCTCCTCCCTGTCAGCTTGGGCACACTGCTCTGGATGGTTGTGCACAGCACAGCACAGCCATCCAGAGCAGTGTGGTTACAGTGAAGCACACAGACACTGCCCCCTAGTAAAACACTCCCTCCTCACAGTTAACCCTTTGATTGCCCCTCATGTTAACCCCTTCCTGCCCAGTGCCATCAGTACAGTGTCAGTGCTTTTTTTTTAGCACTGATCACTGTATTGGTGTCACTGGGGATGCCAGTGACACCAAGTCAGTTCCTCCCAGTGTCAAAATGTCCACCAAAGTCCCACTATATGTTGCTGATCGCCGTTATTACTACTATAAAAAAAAATTTCCAGTATCTATACCGCCATTTGTAGACGTTATATATTTCATGTAAACCAATTAATTTACACGTACTGGGATTTTTTTTTTTTTCTAGCAAAGACATGTCGCAGAATACATTCTGGCCTAAATTTATGCCAAAATTAGATTTTTTACATTTTTTTACTGGACATGCTTCATGGCAAAAAGTAAAAAAATATTGTTTTATTCTTAAAATTGTCAGTTTTTTTTATAGCGCAAAAAATATAAACGCACAGGCGATCAAACACCACCAAAAGACAGCTCAATTCGTGGGGAAAAAAGAACGTAAATTTCATTTGGGTGCAGCGTTGCATGACTGCACAATTGTCAGTTAAAGTAACGTAGAGCCATAATGCAAAAAATCGCCTGGTCAGGAAGGGGGTTAAATCCTCAGGAGGGCAAGTGGTTAAATTAAATAAATATAAAATATCTTTCTAAATGTCAAATATTGAATGAAAATAGTATAAAAAAATCACACACATATATAAATACCCTTCTTCCACAAATAAAAAAATACAATGTTGTCTTTTTTCATTGGTGGAAGAAGGGTATTTATATACTGTATGTGAATGATTTATGATACTATTTTCATTCAATATTTGACATTTAGAAAGATATTTTTATTTGCTTAAAGTATAACTAAAGGAAAAACTGTTTTAAAATTTTGGATAGGGTGGAAACGTATTAGAACACATATTATGTTTTACTGCTGTCTGTCTGTCTGTCTGTCCGCATTAGGGGGAATCACCCTCTCTATTTGTCCTGTTTACTATTATTATTGAAAGTGAAATGAAACACAAAATCCCAAATTTTGGGTTGTCCCCAGAAAAGTAG